GTTACATTTCTTACCACTGATTTTTCTTACTTTGCACACAAGGTGGGCCAAAAGTCACTTCCTACTGAAACAAATCCGTAAATTTTTCATTATATATTTTTTTAAATTCCTTACAGATTAAAATGCACTAGTTTAAGTTCATGTTTGAATTTGAGTTGATAAAATTAATTTTCATGTTTCTCTCGTCGGAAGAAAATAGGTGAAAATTTTATAATTTGATTATAAAATTTTCTCGATCACCTGTCTGCTTGTTTCTTCCTCTCGTCTCTCAAGTTGTTGTCAAATTTTCGACGCTTGTTCTCTTTGTCCAATTAGGCCTGACCCATCACGCGGTTTGCAGCCTGGGGTCGTTGATGTCGTACGTGGAGGAGGGTACGAGGGCCCGGAAGACAGCATCGACGTTGCAGAATCGTAGCAGCAGCCGGAGCCACGCTCTGCTGACGATCGCCGTTGCGGAGGAATCGAACGGTGTCACCTGCCCGCCGAGGAGGAACGAGATCTCGCCACGCGGTGGCAGTAAATTACGACTGGTCGATCTGGCGGGCAGCGAGAGCGCGGCCACTTGCAGCGGTGTTCATCGACTGAAAGTGAGTCACATCCTAAAAATAATATTCGCGTTGCCGCGAACGAGCAAACCGATCGATCCAGCTCTCCGAGATTTCTATCTTTTTCTATCTAAAGGCTAATCCGATATTTAAAAAAAAAAAAAAAAAAAAAAAACTCAGACACACAGAGATTCAGAATGAAAAGCAATCCACTAATCGCGAGTAACTGATCTTGTACTGCAATACTTTTGGCTGCAATTGTGTGTAAGCGGTGGCGCGGCACGTGTGTTTTCAGGAGGGCGCGAATATAAACAAGAGTCTAGTGGCTCTAGGGAACGTAATATCAGCCCTTGCGGAGAGAGGCACGGCCGGAAGTGGTCCGGGCAGGAGGTTCATCCCTTATAGAGATTCTTCGCTTACTTGGCTGTTGAAGGACGCACTTGGCGGAAATGCCACTACCATTATGCTCGCCAGTAAGTGTCATCCCTTTGATCTTCCCTTCTTCTGCTCTCACTTTTCTCTCTCTCTCTCACCCTACCGATATTATCCACCGCCTGCAAAGTCTTCCCTCCTTATGTCTCTCCGCCACTTCCTTCCTTCGAGCCTCGTTCCCAGTCGTTCCTTCTCGTTCGTATTTATTTTTAGTAGACGCCTCCTGTGTATCCACTTAAACGATGATTTACACGTTGGACGAGCAGCTTTCTTTACACTCTGATTCGTCGCTAATCCGTTTATAATTCGTTCCAGATTCGCTACTCCTCCACATCTCTCACAAGCCAGTCCCCGTCCCATTCGAAACGCAGTTAAACTGCGCCCCGTTTCGCCTCCTGTCTGTTCCCGAGGCTCGTTCCCAAGATCGCGATATTTAATTTGGCAAGACGACACGGCG